CTCCTCCGGCCCAGAGCTGGAAGCGCGTCCTCCAGCCTCACGGTTTGCAGAGCCCGTATTTGCTGGCCGGACGCTGCTGAGGATGAGCTAACCCTGCACAGGGCAACACAAACAGCTTCAGCCTCAGCATGAGGTGGGTTTGCCCTCCTCCCACTGCCTGGGGGTGTGAACACACCCAGGCGCAACGACAGCCACGCACCGGAGGAAATGCCTGTACCAGTCAAAATCCTTGGGCTCCAAGCTCCCCCAGGACTTGTCCATACACAGATTTGCATGTCCTTCTCCTCAGACAGTTCCCTGGTACTACGTGTGCCCTAAAATGACTCCTTGGACATTTTTGAAAGCTTTGCTGGGGGCAATTTTTACTCCCCAACATGCAGCCCAGGCCAGCGCTGGCAGCAGGGGCTGGGGTGTGATTCGGGAAGCAAATGGAATGCTGCCAGGAAGGAAGGGAGGGAGCAAGTCCCAGATTTTGGAAGGCAATTCTGCAGCGGGCAAACGTGGAGATCGCAGCAGGGCACACTGTCCTGGAGCAGGGGATGGCTCTGACTGGTCCTGCTGCCCCTGCCCTCCCTGAGACAGCCCAGCATCAGGGATGGGGCCGGGTGCTCCTCACCGGCCATGCCTCCAGCACCACCCCGCTCTACCACTGTGCTCCCCGGAAGGCGGGGGCTGCCCAGTGGGGCTGTACCTGCTGTCACCGGCATTGGCCACGTAGAACTTGCCCATGAGGTAGACGGCAGCCAGGGCGCAGCAGCCCCCGGCCAGGTGCTGGGATGTTCGCTCCCGCTCGATCTGGTCATCCTGGGGAGACAGAGTGGTTCCAGGGTGGGTGGGCAGCCCACACAGCTGGGAGTGGGCAGGGGGGGGCAAGGGTCCTGCAGGAAAGCTGGGGACATGGCTTCACCAGGGCAGTGGAGCGGCCAGGAAAGAGCAAAACAGGAGGGGAGCAGCTGGGACTGCAGGAACAAAGCACAATGAAGCTCTCTGCACCCACACAGGCCTGGAGCCCAAAGCCTCTGCACCCTGAACCCCCAAAATATGGGAGAGCATCACAGAGCCCTCTCCGACACCATCCTCCTGGGATCCCTCACTGCAGCCCCTCCTTGCTGCAGAGCTGCCTTTTGCCAGAGGGGAGAAGCCACTGCAGAGACGGACAGCAAAAAGATGCTCCCTGGTGACCCCGGGGCATCCCCCGTGCGCTCACCATGTGCTTGAAGGCATTCTCGATGGCGCCAATCACCAGGCTCTCGTGAGAAACCGCTTTCTCCAGGTGAAACCGTGGCACAGCATCGTTGGACACCTCCCCGTCATCCTCTGCCAGGGGCACCCGGCTCGGCTCCACAGTGCCAGCCCTCACGTCATGCGGGAGGCAGATGGGAGCTGGGGAGGGGTCCCGCAGGATGTCCACAAGGTCCCGGAGCTGCTCGCAGATGTGCAGGTGGAGCTTCTGGGATGCCATGACAGCAGCACCACTGCCTGCGTGGCCATCAAACAGGGCCCAGTAGTGGAAATAAAAACCCCTCCTGCCCTGTGGGGAAACGGGAAGGCTTAGCAAGCCTGGGAGGAGGCAGGTGGGATGGGGAATTTGGAGCAGCTGGGGTCACCAGCTGAGGACAGCAGCACAGGGCTTCGTCTCTGGCTGCAGGTCCCAGCCCCACACGGGCAGGAGCTATGTGGGCAGCTGACCAAGGGTGTCTGGACACGGCCAGTCCCTGGCTGGAGCCCAGCCCTGCGTCAGACACCACCTGCTTCCAGCAGCCAGCTCCTCGGAAGGGGAGGCACAATGGGGCCAGCGTGGCAGCCACCTTTGCAGCCTGCCAGGGCACGTGGGATAGTGGCCTCCCCAGGCTGGCAGCCCTGGCATGGGCCAGCAGGGACGGTGGCAGGAGCTGGCAGGGAGCAGGAGTGGCCAGCCCGGGAATGGAGGGAATCTCCAGCAAGGCGGTGGTGCACACACGTTGCCACATGCCCTATCTCACATCCTCCTGTGGGCATCCTCCCTGTCTCATCCCAGCCCATGCATGCCGCTCTGACACTCACCCCATCCAGCTCCCCACCACCTTCCCTGGACAGCAGCCGGCCCCTCGGGCTGGGCCTCCTCTCCACAAACACCACTTCACAGCACGCCTGGTCCTCGTTGTGCTGGCTCTTCCCCGCGTTTATCACCCTGCCAGGAGGAAACAAGGTGTAAAGGCTCACTCACTCACACCACGCTGCAGCAGAAGCCATCCAGCAGCACTTCAGCCCCATGGCCCAGGGCTGGTCTCACTGTCCGGGGCAGCAGCCCGGTGAGATGTCCCGGACCATCACAGGGGTTGAGGTGCTCCTACCAGCACAGCTGGATCCCAGGGAGCACGGCCATCCAGGAACCCGCTGAGCTGGGGGGGGACACGGGACACAGCAAAAGCTGGGGCTTTGCTGCAGGTCCCCAGTGCTGCCCCAAGCACAGCGACTGCCTGAAAACCAGCACCAGCCTCAATCATACACCCCCAGCCGGGACCCACAGACACTCGGCGAGGGGATTCCAGCCTCATCCGTGCCCCATCGCGCCCAGCACCTCTCAGAGGTGCCTCCGAGAAGGAGAAGCTGATGAAACCATCAGAACCTTTGCAAAAAGCTTCGTGCTAACTTTTCGCAGCCTAAGCTAGCCAAGCAGATTTCAGGTCTGAATTGCAAAACCTGCTCACAGGAGGAAGCTGTAAACGTGCACAACAGGATGAGCTCTGGGCACAGACTTCTCAAGTGGTTTACATGTCTTGGGAGACGGAAGAGAAGTCTCACTCCCGAGCAGAGAGTGGGTTTTGTTCCTGGTGGTTTTTCTCCGGGTTCTCCTACCCCGTATCTCCTGGGGCAAATGAACATCTCCAAAAAGTCACTCCAGGGAGTCAGGAAGCTGAGCTTGGGGAAGGGATGTGGGAATGCACGGCCAGCACTGCGCAGCAAGGGTGGCCTTCCCCGCCGGAGCTCCCCCCCGGGGGCCCAGACTCCCACCAGCAAAAGGAGAAGAAACTCGGGCCCTCGGAGGGGAAGTCGAAATCAGGTCCCGGTCCCAAGGCAGCTTCAATTCCCTCCCCCCTCACAGCGTTCTGCAAGAGCAGCGGCAATTCCTGCAGCCCTCGGTGTCAGCTCCTGCATCCCCCAGTGATCAGTGACACCGGGCAGCGTGTGGATAAAGCACAGA